TCCTAGTTCCTTAATGCTTTGTAGCATTGAAGACATTTCCATAAGGTCTAGAAATGCAGCACGTGTTTCTGAAGCAAAGTTACAGTGCAGGAGACAAGAAGGCAAAGGCTTTGCAAGGCTTGATTTCAATTTTTTAAGGATATGACATTATTCTCTAACAGTTTTTATTACTTGAGTTCAAATTAAAAAGGAGTATGTGTGGTTTTTTTTGCAATAAAATCAGGATTCATTTTTATAACTCATGAAATGAAGAAATAACACTATGAATAAAGCCTTTGAATTTGTGATACAGATTTCCACAAATCTATAAAGATGGAAATGGGCATTTGTGACCTATTCCCAATAACAAAGTAATTAATTCATCCCATTTCTTTTCTCTTGGCTGGAGTGATAATAAACCAGAGTGGTGATGGGTTACCCCATGCTTATTAGAAGTGCTAGAGTTTCTTGTATATCATGGATATTAATTCCTTGTTAGATGCATACTTAGCAAAATTTTTTTCCTACCCAATTAGAAAATGGGCAAAGGAGCTGAATAGACAGTTTTCAAAGGAAGACATACAAATGGCCAACAGGTACATGAAAAAATGTTCAACATCACTAGTTATATCAGGGAAATGCAAATTAAAACTACATTGAGATATCACCTCACCCCCGTTAGACTGGCTATAATCAAAAAGATGGTGAATAACAAATGCTGGCGAGGGTTTGGAGAGGAGGGAACCCTCCTACATTGTTGGTGGGACTGCAGATTAGCACAACCACTATGGAAAACAGGATGGAGGTTTCTCAAACAACTACAGATAGATCTTCCATATGATCCAGCCATCCCACTTCTGGATATATACCCAGAAGAATGGAAATCATCATGTTGAAGGGATACCTGCACTCCCATCTTCATTGCAGCTCTGTTTACAATAGCCAAGACATGGAGCCAACCTAAATGTCCATTGATGGATTACTAGATAAGGAAAATGTGGTATATATAAACCACGGAATACTACTCATCCATAAAAAAAGAATGAAATTCTCCCATTCACAACAACATGGATGAGCCTGGAGAAACTTACATTGAGTGAAATAAGCAAAGCACAGAGGGATAAATATCACATGTACTCACTCCTATGTGGCAGCTAAGAGAGAAAGAAGGAAGGAAAGACAGACCACGGCAGTGCATTGGAATTGCAGAGGGAGAGAACATTCTTTGGGCTACAAAGTGGAGTGGGTGGGAAAGGGGGAGGGGGAGGGAGGTTGGGGCTAATTGGGTGGAGCACTTGGGGTACAAATGCTATTTGTGCTAATTGGTATGCTGCCAGCAAGAGTCTGGCGTTCATATCTTGGGCCTGAGGGATGACGATCAGCTTTGTATCTCATGAATATTCATTACCAATAAAAAAAGAAGTGCTAATTGTCACACATATTTTAGATGAATAACTAAAGTTTACTAGAGGATACAACTCAAAATGAGAAAAAAAAACAAAAACAAAAACAATTACAAAAGTCTATAGTGGGTTGAATAGTGTCCTCCCAAAATTCTTGAATACCTGGAACATCAGCATGTGACCTTACTTGGAAATAGGTTCTAACTACTAGATATAGTTAATTAAGGATATTAGATGAAATCATCCTGGATTTAGGGTGGGGCCTATGTCTGCTGATTGGTGTCCTTATTAGAAGAGGAGAGGACACAGGCATGCACAGAGAGGAAGCTGATGCACGCATGGAGGCAGAGATTGGAGCAACGCGTCTAGGAGCCAAGGAATGACAAAGACTGCAGGCAACCACCAGACCTCAGGACAGAGGCATGGGATGGGTTCTTTCCCAGAGCCTCCGGAAGGAACCAACACTGTCAACATCTTGATTTCAGGCTTCTGGCCTCCTGAATAAACTGAGAATAAATTTCTGTTGTTTTAAGTCACCAAGTTTATGGTGATTTGTTAAGCCAGTCCTAGGACCAGTACAGAAATTTTGATAGTGAAAAGGCTAGTATTTGCTCTCTCGCTCTCTCTCCTCCCTCCCCTCCCCACTCTCTCTCATGATTTTACCTTCTGCAGAGAGAATGTCCTAAAATTCTGTGTCTAAGGAGTCAGAATCTTGGTTTGATAATACTGACCTGAATGTGTTAACTTCCATTGACAAAATAGCTCAGAAGTACTAAGCAATTCACAGCAAAAAAATTCTGTTGGCCATATTACTCATTTACTTTCTGGACCATGCCCTTCTTAGCTGTTCAGATGATAGAGAATTAGCTTTAGTGAGAGGACATCTTCAATTTAGGTAACCAAAAGTCACAATATGCCATCAGAGTCTTTTATTTGTTTTCTACTTTACATATGCAATTAAAAATACATATTGTTGCAAAAGCAAGCATCACTCACTATTAATATTTTGGCATATATTGATTTAAATAATTTTATATGAATTCATTTTCTTTACTGATGTGAACTCATGCACTAATACTAATTTAGAACTGCGTTATTAAAACCATATTTTAAATATTTAACATGTGATTTAATAGTTTAACCTACACCATTTTAAATAGATGTACAGTATTCCACAGTATGATTGTGTCTGAATTTTCTAAGTAACTTCCTAAAGGTAGATATTTAGGCTTTTTAAAAATTATTTGCTTTTAAAGTAATGTTCCAATGAACATGTCTATAGTTTAAAGGTTTGCAAAAAAAAAAAAACCATAACCACTATCTAGGATAAACTCCTAGAAGTTGGAAACCTGGGTCATATCTTTATGAAGAAAAATATACACATGTGCAGTCACATACACACACACATATATACATCTGTATATAACATTTATCTACACACTACTTTGCAGACAGATTCTAGAAATTTTCTGTATCATAAGCAGTACATGAGAGTTTACATTTCTCATATGCTTTCCAGAATAAGGTGTCACCATTCATTTTTATCTTTATTACTTTAATTAAAGAAAAATGCTATCTCACTTCTGTTTTCATTTGCATTTCTCTATTTATTAATGAGATTAAACATTTTTATCATGTTTATTGGCCATTTATAGTTCTATGAATTGAATGTGAATCCTCAGGTTTTCTATTGGAATGCTCATCCTTTAATTGTTTTGTCAAAAGAAGATTTCTTTTTTTAAAATATTTTTCATCTTTTTCATTTGAGGGGAAAAAGAAATGACAAGAAAGTTTCAGGAGTGCAAATCTTCATATCTCGAAAAAGCCAGACTTTAATTAAATTATCCTTAGGGTTTTTTCTAGGTTAATCTTAAATCCTGGGAATTGAACTGAAATATTTTCAGCAAGAATTTTCAATTTTGGTGGTTTCCCTCCAAGTTAACTACATGTTGTATAATGAGCACATAGGCCTCACTTTAACTTCAATTATTTTTACTTTCTTTCCATTATTTCACTAGAAAAACAAAAATGAAAACAAACAACAACAAGAAAAAAAACACACACAGGATCTCAACTTTTAAAATGGCATGGTAGAATGGTAGAATGCCATAATTTCCTTAGATTCAATAATACTTGCCTAGGAGATTTTGGCTAGATTTAAAACAACTAATGAGATTTTTGGCAATCTACCTTGGAAACACTCTCACCATTAAGCTAAAATTTTATAGACATAAAAGGCAAAAAAATGTGAGTGAAAAAACAAGTTACTCTCAAGTCACTGAAGGCTAAACAGGAAGCTTATGGGATGTGTGTGTGTGTGGGTGGGTGTGTGTGAGCGCATGTGCATGTTATGATTACAAATGGACATTTACTGAATATTTGGTGTAGAGAAAAGGATATATAAAGGGTTTCTTTCTTCTATTCTCATTTGCAATGATAGTTTACTTTATCCATTAGTTGTAAGTTATATGCTTTATAGTTTGTATATTATACTGAATCCAGGTTATGTGCCATCCCAGGTTTGCTTAACTTCACCTACCAATTTCTGTCAAGAGCCACTACATTTCTTCCCCAGACCTAGCAATAGCTCATGCTATACCTAAGCCCTAAGCACTGCTGCTACCCTGGACCAAGCCACCATCACAACAAATGCTTACTGACAAGGAAAAACCTCTCTGTTTGCAACTCGTCAGAAACTCTGTCTTCACAGGGCTGTCTGAAGGTACAGAGTAGTCAACAACCTGTTGGTGGACTTTGACAAATGATAGACAAGAGAGAAACTTCCCACACTTTCTATCCAGCCATGGACTGTGAGGCCTAGCAGTTCATGTGGCCTTTCAAGAGATACCCCATAAGACCTCGCAAGCTCTGTGTTTGTTCCAAAGTTGTGGTCACCCAGCTCAATATTGTACCACCATTGTCTGATTTCTTTTTTTCCCTGGCTCACTTCCCTGGGCCTACACCTCCAAAGACATTACTTTGAAAGCCTTGCCTCAAACTATTTTCTAGCAACCTGGATGGACATGCATTAAAGGTTGCAATAGTTGAAGGAAATAAATGATCACTCATCTTATAAAATTTAAAAAAATATCGCATAAAAACTGGGTCCAGCTTTCATAGAAAAGTTTTAACTACTATGAATTCCACCAATATTGCTATAAAAGTGAATATACTTTTGTATTTATGGAAAATAGAGTAATCACTCTATTTCACATTGTACCATTTTCCTCATTTCCCAACCCCCATTCTTATTCCTGGAAATTGGGGAAGGGGGATCAAAGTGACTTAAACTTGAAACCATTTTATTAGAAGACTTTTAAAAGTTGTTAATTAAAAAGCTAAAAGTTATTATGTAACAGGAGCTGTTGATGAATCAGCAATGCTGAGAAACTAATATGAATAAAAATTCTGAGACATTTATTAAGATGATGATCCAGAAGCGAAATATATAGTGAAGAATATAAAGTTAAAAATATAAAGGTGATTCTTGTTCCAGCCAATAAATGTCACCTGCCATGAAAGAAAAGAATCAATGTTCCTTTGAAGTGAGAGTATATTTTATTACTAAAGCATTCAGTTCATCAAAGCCTTGCAAGAAGACACTATGTGAACACTGACCTGTGAACAGGTACCACAGGTTGTTTGGCTCCAGGGTTTCCATCTCACCCCTGCGGGTCGTCTTTCGGTGTCGAATTTTATAGCCAGTGATAAATCCATTTTGAGTTCCTGATGGAGGAGGTAGCCAGCTTACTTTGATACTCTGTAAAATAACAGATGTAAATTAAAACATTGGAGAAGGAAAAGACAAGAAGACAGGGTCAAAGAAGTGACCCAAACATAAGTGTGAATAAAGCAGAGAGGGAAGAAGTGTTAAGGATTGCCTCTTAGGGACAAATCACAACCATTCTTACCATCTGACAGCATTTTTATTTGTCTCATTTTAACAAAAATACACAATGAATCTATAGTAATAGAAATCAGAACTGTAGTTGTCTAGGGCAGTTGCATGAGAGATTGATTGGAAATAAATACAAGGAGACATTTAGGGTGATAGAAATCTTCTGCATATTGATTTTATGTTTGTTACATGGGTAGATGCGATCATCAAAATACATTTTTATGGGCTGAATTGTGCACACCAAGATTCATATGTTGAAGTCCTAGCCCCCAGTATCTCTGAATTTGCCTGTATTTGGAGATAGGTCCCTTAAAAGGGTAATTCAAAATAAGGTCATTAGAGTAGGCCCTAATTCAATGTGACTGTTATCCTTAAAAGAAGAGAAGATTAGGACACAGATACACATAGAAGACAAGTGTGAAGACACAGGAAGAAGTCAGGCATCTATAAGCCAGGGAGGGAGCTCAGAAACCAGACTTGTCAACATCTTGATCTTGGACTTCCAGGCTCCAGGAACTGTGAGAAAATAAATGTCTGTGGTTTAAGCTGCCCAGTTCGTTGTATTTGTTATGGCAAGCCCTAGCAAACTAACATACTCGTGGGATTGAAAACTTAAAATTTATACATTTCACTTTATTTTAATCATCCATCAACCAAAGATGAGTGAGGAGAAGAGAGAGGAGAAAGAGGAGGGAAAAGGAATAAGACTGGGGAATAGAAACGAGGATGGAACTGTATCAGCCCAGCTCTGGGCTTAAAAATAAATCGGTAGATGACATCTAAAACTGGTGAATTAAAACTGGGGAATACTGCTACATAAGCACATTATTCAGAAACATCAAGGCAAATGTCAGAAAAAAAAATAACAGCTCAAAGTGATGAACATGAGAGTCTTTAGGGAATGGGAACAGGATTAGGGAAGAGGCAAGAAAGGGTTAAGTGGTGTTTTTTATGGGCTCATTAGTACTATTTGACTTTTTGAAAAATAATAATGTACATGTAATACTTTGATGAAAATTTAAAGTAATTTTAAAAATACTGCATGTCCTCACTTATAAGTGGGAGCTGAATCCATAAACAAACAAATAAACAATAAAGAGAAAGAGAGAAGGAAAGAAACAACAATCACAATAATATGTTGAACTGTTAGAAGGAGAGAACAGAACTGAGGTTACTAGAGGTGGAAAAGGGGAGGGGAAGAGGGTTGAGAGGGGGGTCAACGAGAAATTGGTCAATAGACACAAAGAATGATTATGTATTATAATGATTAATAAGCTAACTATCCTGATCTGACTATTACACATCATATACAACTATTGAAAGTCACCTTTGTACCCCACATGTAGGTATAGTAAGTTATCTTAAAAAAACAAAATAATTAAATTAAATTAAAATGAAATGAAATTGTTCTTTTGAGGTGGTAGAAATAAATGACTGGCTGCTAGAAAGAAGCCAGACCCATAGTCAAGAAACGGATTGCTGAGCCTCGTGGGCCCAACCCCAGGACCTCTGACTTCCTTTCAGTCCTATGGCAGGATGCTCCAGGCCCAGCAATACCCTCCAGGGAGACAGAAGTCTAAGATCTTTGTTTCAGATCTACTACAAATTAGTTGGTGTCCTACAAATAATTAAGTTCCTTTATAATGGGAGAAAAAATGCCATCTGAAGTGACACCTTCTTGCTAAGCACTTAAACGATTTCAAAGAATGTGCCAACTACAGTCAATACGGAAGTTATATTATCTACAGTTGTCCCCAACACTGAATTTGAGAATCCTGAAATATCACTCTTTAGAAAATAGGCCGGCCTGTGGCTCACTCGGTAGAGTGCGGTGCTGATAACACCAAGGCCACGGGTTCGGATCCTATATAGGGATGGCCGGTTTGCTCACTGGCTGAGCGTGGTGCTGACAACACCAAGCCAAGGGTTGAGATCCCCTTACCGGTCATCTTTTTTAAAAAAAAAAAAAAAAGAAAAGAAAATAAATACAGGTTTAGGTGCCTTTGAACCTCGAGTTACAACATTTTTTGTCAACTAATTGGTATGTAACCTTGCTTTATGTATGTTTCTGTTTAAAGATACCTTATTTAATATTATGGTCAATTATTAACATTAACCTTTAATGCCTAAGCAAAGCTTATTTGACTTGTACTTTCTCTGCTAGGCACATCACAGTCTTTTTGCATGTAGGACTGATGAACTTCAGCACTTCAGCATTACACTTGGGGGTCATTTTAAATAGCAGAGTTGCCATCAGAGAACACAAAATGCAAAAACACGGCACCAAATACATCACAGAAAGGGCACTTGCATACAGTATGAGAGCAGAAACAAGAGAGCAGAGTATCTCTCTATTCAACCTTAGCTGAAAACGTGTACATCTGGCCACTCAAATTTTTCACTGCTCTGCACATAACCACAAAAGCACCATAGGTATTGATTTTGGGTTACAGATAAGTTTTAGCAAGTAGGCAAATTCAAAAATACATAATCTGCATATAACATAATTATGTAATAAATGTTTTTGTGTTTTCACACTTTTAGAGAAACCTAGTTACACAGAATTGATCTGATTATTAAGTTGTTAGAAAAGATGTAAGAGAACAGCACTACTGAAATAATTTACGAGTACTTTGTCCCCAATACCCTTTAAATGTGAGAAACTAAGCACCACTCATTAATATTTGTTAATTCATCTTTTGCACTTACTAAAGACCTGACCATGGTCTAAGCACTTCACATGAGTTATGTTTTTTATTTGCACAATCACCTTATGAGTTAAGGTCTATTACGCCCTATGTATAATTGTGTAAATCGGGACACAGGGTGCGTAAGTGGCTTAAAGTCATGCCACCAGTAAGTGATAAAGGCAGGATTTTAACTGAGATAACATGAATCTGTAGCTGGATTTCTTTAGGACTTAATACTGCCTCCAAAAGGAAGTTGAAGAAGTTGAGAGTTTAATTCGTTTAGTTGTTATTCATTCAAAATATGTTAACAGCATCCGTGGTGCATTGCAAAAACTATCCTTGAAACTAAGGATACACCTGAAAAAGTCATAGTTAACCCATTTTTTTAATAGACTTATTTGTGGAGGAGTTTTGGTTTACCAATTTGTCTGATTAATTAGAAACATAAATTAATAATGAAAAAACAAAATGTTAAATACTAAAGTTGAACATCCCAGAGAGATTAGAGGGAGCAATTAATTCTTTTTTATTTTTTATTTTTTATTTTTTTTGTCTTTTTTCCGTGTCCGGCAACGGATCGCAACCTTCAGTGTTGCCCCCGTACCGGACCAGGGACCGGCAACGGGATCGCAACCCTCGGTGTTGCTCCTGCGCCTCGCTCAGCCAGTGAGCGGGAACCGGTCTGTATGTGGGATCTGAACCCTCGGGCGGGAGCGCCACCGCGCTTCCCAAG